CATCTCATCATTTAATTATTAATTGTGTCTCAACAATACGAAATATATATATATATATAAAATAAGTAAAATAAATAAAGTAAAAAACAGACAAATAAAAATATAGTGTAGATAACGTGTACAATAAAATTATACTAATAAAACAAAAAGCACAATAGTGGAAAATAATATAAATCACAATAATTTATTTATAGATCGCAAAAGAATTATGATACTACTTATATCGAGTGATTAGTTGCTATAAATTATGACCAATCTTAGATCTTAATTACCCGTTAATGGACATTAAGTCGTCAACACTTTACTTAATTGCTATCGCTAACAATTAACAGCCACGTTAGATACTTATTAAATGATTATTACTTTACGTAAAAATTGTATTGCTATATCGCACGGAACTTTCTCTATTTTACTAAATAACCGCATAAAGCAAAAAGTAATCTCAAAAAGTTTACGATCTTATGTAAAACTATGTATACTGCAAAATTTGTACAAAAATGACAATAGTGAATATTGATATAATTGCAAGTCATAAGTACTTCATTTTGCAATTTTATGGCTCACGAGTGGTGCAATTGAGAAATACGATAAAATCGTATAAAGCACATAATAATATCGCTCGGGGCGCCGAAGGTAAATGACTATCATCTGCGGAAAACCAGTCAAGTCATATGTTGTGAAAAGCAAGCCACGCATTCACATATGATTGCACATTACATCCATTAACATTATAACATGTTCACTCTCGAAAAAATACATTTATACAATCACCATCAGAAAAATGTGCACTTATAAAAATGTTCAAATATATTGCTAATCTCAAAAATAAGGATTCTAAAAATTAAATCTTTTTATATATCTCGGTTTTTTTTGGGGATGGTAGTCAATTATTACTTTCGCATATTTCTGCGATATTCGAAAAAACCTTCGAAATTACAAATGTGAAAGTTTGATTTGGCATTTTGTTATTATTCACCTGATAATACACATTCGGGTTTTTTTTTTTTGTGCAAATTATTTTCACAGGTTGACACACCGGATTACTTTTTTGCCGATTTAGTCGCGGCACGGGTTCGTCAGTTTTTCTTGTTCGCTATCTACGATGTTGGTAAGAAAATACACGAAGCAAATCGAAAGATTAGCGCGATAATTCATTAGTGGTTGTAGTTCGCTATCTGGATCTGAATGAACGTAATGTGGAGGAATAAAGTAAATTAAAAGTGAGCAAAACCATTGGAGAACGAATCAGAGATCAAGTTCGAATTTCCACTTACTTTGATTTTAAAAAATGTCTTTATAGAATTTTATTTGAAAAAACTACTCTCAACCCATATACTTTCTTTACACGATTTCTTAATTATTTCCAAACTTTGATTCTACCATTCGCCGTCGGTATACTGCAAACTGCAGCTTCAAACGTCAAAAAACAAAACATTTAGAGCTTAAACTCGAATTTATCTAAAAATCACGGCTATATTGCTACCAAAGCAATACGATACATCTATCGTTTTATGATTATTAAAAAAATAATCTAAAAAAATTTAATTATATTTAATAATTAAGAAACATTAAGTGATAAAAAAATATTATTCAAAGTGTATCTAAAATAAAATTTGTAATAAAGGTAAAAATATTTTAAAAAATGATAATCAATATATGCTTGCGTAAATATTGTTCACTCAAAATAAATAGTACGTAGAAATGTAACTAGCATGACATAAATACAATAATTTCGTTTTCTTTTCCTGTTTTCTTTTTCCTTGAGATATCAAGTTCATTGCCACCGTGCGATTATCCAGGTATTAATCTTCATCTACGAACACTTATGATGTTATTATTATACCAACTCGAGTATAATCAGCAGCCGCAAAAAAAGAAAACAGAAGTTGCTTCAAGTTTTTGCACTTCACGACAACAGCATTAAAGATGAAATTTATCATACCGGATAATATTGACTATTCAAATAATGTATTTGTTTCTTTTCTGCAATGAGTATGTGAAATTGCACGATAATAGCAATTCGGTAAAAAATTGTTTTTTCGGCACATGTCAAATCGTATTATCGAACGAAACCAATCTGTCATGCAATTAGCAATGATCTCTCAAGTAGTATCATAGCTGCATCTTGCGCCTACTAAGCAATAAACTTTTTTGCCTTTTTTCAGAAACGATTTAATCGTCCAAGATAATGTATTAGCATGCAAATGCCATTACTTTATCACGAAAATAATGCATGAAATACGTGTAAAATGAATAATAACTCAATAGACTATACAACTAATTAGACAAGACGGTAAATATTTTCGTAATAATCGCTATTTAAAAAATTATTATTTTAAGATTACTATTTTTAAACGTGTTTTCTGTCAACTTTTCAAAATTTAAAAGAATTTATAAAATGTAACTTCAAAAATATGTGCACGCAGAGTTCACTCTTATTATTAATTATACTTTAAAATATAATTAATAATATTTTTTGTAATAATTATTCGCTCACTGAGAAAAAATCGTATGTTTCTTCTTGTATATAAACTATGTATCATATTTCTTACATATTTATTTTAATACAAATTTGTACAAAAAATAATTGCATTCTATACAAAAATAGTTGAGACTTATGTAACTCAAGAGAGAAATTTAATAGGAAATCGTGAAAAGTGATATATAATCCGTTTTCTTGTAAATTCTCCAATATAGCCGAAAGAATTTTTGTTTACATTGCCAAGTTTCTCAGTAAGAATCGACAACATTTTGTCTCGTTTACTCATCGTCGTATAAATGTCAGAAAGGAGAAATACCACGTCGTTCGTGAGCATGTGATCGGCAACAAACTGGCCGAGAGGTAAGGAGATCAAACGAATCGACAATGGACAAAAGTAACTATTCTTTGTCCTACGATATGACGATTACTTCAGAAAATTGAAAGACTACAAGAAAGACTGTAAAGCTTTTCCATTTTGTAGCATTCTGTAATCTCAATTTAATTTACAATCAGTTTTCAAAACTCAAATTGAAAATTGAAAGCTTCTTATTTTAACTTTCACAATAATCGGTTTCACATATTTCGGTTTTGAGTCTTGATATAGCGCGAGTTGAATATTAACTATAGCTATTTAAAAGCTAAAATTCCGGAACCTACTTTCGTGTTCTCATATATTTATCGTTAAGCGCGGCATGTAAGATTCTTGTCTCATTGTTGACATTGCACGCGATTTTCAGATTCAGCGAACTGAACTGGATATCGGATGATTGCATTAAAACGGTGTAACATAGTAACAAAGCACCTAGAAGCTTAGATTTTGCAAGAAATTTGGAACGCGAAAGAGCACGAGGTTTTAAAATCGAAGAAAAATTGTAGCCCGTATAACGTGCAGAGGGGAATAAATAAGAGCTCACACTTACCTTGCTCTGTACGTAATCGAGGGCGAGCATGCAGTCGGAGTATCCACTCTCAGTCTTGATAGTCGCGCCACCCTGGCCAGGTCCAGTCGAACAAAATCCGGAACCGACGACACCGACCGGCCCGCCAAGGCCAGCCGCCGCAGCAGCCGCGACACTATCCCGATACCAAGGATACATGAGCAGTCTTGCAAAATCACTATTCCAAAAGTTTCTCCTAACTTGGTCCGTTCGGAATTGGAAGCAAATTCACTCACAGCACGTTTTTATCCTTCTTCCTTGTCTCGTATTTGGTCCCGACGATGTGCGATACAGAACGTACGATGCACCCCTCGCTGGACGACGATATCACTGGACCACGAACACGAACGGCGCGATGCGATCGCAATATCGCACGTAGCCGCCGCGCTCGCGCACAACTACGTCTTGCGTGGAATTTCCAGATCGCGCGTGCACAAGGCGATCACTAGCATTTGCGTACACAGGTACAAACGTCACGAGACTACACAATCCTGGCTGGTCTGCTAGTAACGCCAATGGAAGTCGCGTGCCGCGCGTTCCTGTTTCGAGCCGAGAGACGGTCATCGACGTCGCCGAGTTAGGTTACTCGCTACTCGTTCGAGCGCGAAACACGTCCGATACCGCACTGCCGAGCAGCGTCTTCCCGGGCGTCCCTCGCGATATTAAACGTAAACACCGCGCGTCGAGCCGGCTCGACCTTGTTCGTATATTGAAACACGGCCCGTCCGTCTTTGTCTGTCTCTCTCGTTCTCGGTCGACTAGCTGTTTACCTTTTTTTTTCCCCAATGATGCCGCGTAGGTATCGCCTATTCGAAAATCAGTTCGCGAAGAAGTAGCTAAAATATCTGGTCTGGTAAAACTCCGATGACTAGATTCCTTCCCGTTGTCGCTGCGCGTTCGATATGTCCGCTCCGTGAATTTTAGGACATGTTTTGCACGCGATCGAACACGATCCCGCGGATCGCCACGAGCCCGCGCGCACGCGGGCGCGTGTCGCGCACCCGCTCGCACGATTATCTCTGAACAGGTTGTAATCACGCTTGGTATTTTTAACAGCCTTTTCTCCCTCCGCACGTAGAATCGTTCGTTTATTGCGTTCGTGACACCGAACCGGCCGGCTTCGCTCTCTCTCTCCTCAGAGCACGCGAGATTACGCGCTGTCAGTCGACGACACGACGCAACGCCCGTGTGTCATTCTCCGCTCTTCTTCTCTTCCGGCACTTGATCGATCGATGATTTATCGCATGGCGATCATCGAATCGATCGCTTCCTCCAGAAGGCACCGCAGTTCATTGCCGCCGTAGTTCGTGACACATCGCGCGAATATTCACTTCACGAACGAAAACCACCGAAATGCCTAATAACAACGAGCGCGCCCGCGTTCCGAAATCCAATTTGGCGCAATTCGAACGCTCACGAGTCGCACCATAATCACAAACGGTGACGAGCGGTGCGAAAGGAAAGCTCGATTACGCGACAGGGGTCCAAGCGCGCGAAAAATGGTTTCTTCTATCACTGTCTTCTCTCGCTCTATTCCTTCCCCCCTCCCTCTCTCCCTCTCTCAGTCTCTCTCTCTCTCTCTCTCTCCCTCACTCTGTCTCCCACGCTGTAGACGACACCGTGTCGTCGCGAGCGAGAGTCGTGGCGTCGACCTCCGTAACTTCTTCTTCTTCGGCGATCGTAATAACTTC